CTTAACATATCAACTGTACTCTATTATAGTGACTGCCCGGTCAACGCAGTTGACCGGACTTCAATACTACACTAGTTGTTAGTTTTAAGAAACGTTCTACTTGTCAATATGACACAATTATTTGATGCATTCAATAGTAAAAGTCGCCGTATCAACATAGAAAATAGTTCAACTATATCTTCCCCAAAGAAGCGAAAGCGAAAGCGAAAGCAGGCGTATACTATTGTGTAACATATCCACTGTGTTACTTTCAATTTTTTTTAACAACGGGGACAAAGACGGAGTTCCAGGGCTTGTCTTAGACTTCCAATCTCCAGGTTCGTTCTAATACTATTGCTTAGCACTTTTTATTCTGAGATGAGCATTCTTAGAACCATACCATTAATTTCATATGGGAGAGGGAATGTTGAACTAGGCAATACAGCCGCAGCGGCCGGGCGGTTTTAACATTCTAAGCATAGACGTTGTATGTTGATAGCTATCCACACAGTAATCTGATAAACCATGATGGATACAACGTTATGTTATGATGATGAATGTATCGTATTGCAAATTCTGAGAACGTCAAAAAGAAACTACATATTAATATGACATGGATGAAACACTAATCAAATTGCTTCTTTCACTCAGAACAGCAGAACACAACGGTCGCGGAAGATAAACATGTTCTGGTTTCATTGCAAGTTACAGGAGCGGATTAAAAGTTCGGGCATAATAAAAATCACTCAGTATCGAAACATCATTTAAGCGTTTGTATTTGGAAAATGCTATCAATTACAATAACAATTACGGGTAGCTGATAAATAATGATGTGATAAATATAGGGTACATACAGGATATCATACTCTATAGGACATCATGTCATACAGGATAGAATACCATACAGAATACCATATTCTATAGGACATAGTACCATCTATTTTGCGTGACCAATGAAACCATGGCTTATCGGACCTACATTCCCGAAAGGATGACACGATCTGTGCAACTTTGGAACAATAGCAGTCTCCCTTTCAACATGAACATTGACGACCTTTTAGACGACATTTTCAAAATCGAAAACGGTAAATTATATAAATGTGCCGC